ATAGTATGTAGGGGTCCAAAACCAGGAGGTGGACCCTTAACTACTATATAGTTACTTATGTACTAATTATATACCCCAAATTTAAACATCCATTTATTTCAACAGAGCCCTCCAAAGTCTGCAAGTATGAAATTCACATTCAGGGTAAGATTTGCTACAGGCCCTGAAAGCCTAGTCCCCAAAGAAGAGGTACCAAGTTTGGGGAGGAGTTCCAGCCTTGGAACAGAGGTGTCCCAAGTGGGCAGCCCCTGCTTGGCAGCTGGTGGCAGTGTCCTTCCTGGAGCTGCACCTCCCTGGGGTGCAGGGTGCCTCTGTCCATACTGTGGACCCCTCAGCACCTGTCATAATCCCCCACTCAGTGGGCGCCCCCTGGGAATCCTCTTTATTTCTCTTTCCATAGAGACATTACATCAGCGCTTATTTCCATCCACAGTGCACACTCCCCAGAAAACATTTTCATGTAGTGAAGACCTTCTATTCACCCCCATAGAGCACTCTTAGGTGCGGATACCTCATAGGATCCCAAACAGTGCACACCCACAGTATAACACACTACAGGATACCCTGCAGTACAGACAGCTTATATGATCCCAGACAATAGTCACTGAAGTGTAGACACCATATATATATACCCCTATAGGTCATCCCAAAGTGCAGGCACCTCCAATGCTCCCAAATAGTACACCTGTACAGTGTAGACACTCCATTTATCTCACATTATATACCATCGTAATCACTCCCTACACCCCTTAAGACACCCCATAGTTTAGATACCCCTACACCCACCCACATTAGTCAACTCATACATGACCCACACTCATATCACAGTGCAGACCAGTTTGTTTAAATTCAATACTCAGGGCTGGCCTGTGGCTCACTCGGTAGAGTGCGGTGCTGATAACACCAAGGCCACGGGTTCAGATCCCATATAGGGATGGCCGGTTCGCTCACTGGGTGAGCGTGGTGCTGACAACACCAAGTCGAGGGTTAAGATCCCCTTACCGGTCATCTTTTAAAAAAATAAATAAATAAAATAAAAATAAAATAAATAAATTCAATACTCATGTGCTCTTTTATCAGGTGCTGGCAGGAGGGAAAAAAAACCTGAAGGAACACAGTTCCTGTCCTGCAGGGGATTAATGCTAACCACTTATGATGCAACAAGCATGGGTGCCCCAAAAGATGACACACACTTGCTTTACATCCACACATGTGCCCACTGCACCCAAGCCCACTTGCAAACCTACAGAATCAAGAGGNTACAGACAGCTTATATGATCCCAGACAATAGTCACTGAAGTGTAGACACCATATATATATATACCCCTATAGGTCATCCCAAAGTGCAGTCACCTCCAATGCTCCCAAATAGTACACCTGTACAGTGTAGACACTCCATTTATCTCACATTATATGCCATCGTAATCACTCCCTACACCCCTTAAGACACCCCATAGTTTAGATACCCCTACGCCCACCCACATTAGTCAACTCATACATGACCCACACTCATATCACAGTGCAGACCAGTTTGTTTAAATTCAATACTCATGTGCTCTTTTATCAGGTGCTGGCAGGTGGGAAAAAAAACCTGAAGGGACACAGTTCCTGTCCTGCAGGGGATTAATGCTAACCCTTGAATACCACTTATGATGCAACAAGCACGGGTGCCCCAAAAGATGACACACACTTGCCTTACATCCACACATGTGCCCACTGCACCCAAGCCCACTTGCAAACCTACAGAATCAAGAGGAAGGGCCCCTGGGAGGCAGCCCAAGAACTGACTCACTGTGTGTCCTGGGGTAAATC